ATATCATTGGCATTTTAAGTATGTGGGCTTCCAGTTTGAACTCACTTGTGACCTGGGGCAAGCTGCTGCCCCCCCGGGCCCCCCAGTGTTCCTCTGTCGGAGGACTGGGCATGTGTGGTCTGTGTGTAGCTATGGTGAGTGAGGTGCCCTAGGAGCCTCCAGTTATTCGTACAGAAACTGAAGATAAAGAAGTGCCCACGACCCGCGTGGCCATGACGTGGAAAACCCTTTGGAAGCTGTGTCACCGACTTTTGTTCGTAATTGAGTGAAGTAGTCGCTCTTCTTGACTCAGCTGTTGGGCTGTTGTCCCCAGGGCAGGCGACCCATAAGTAAATACTGATTTATGGAGGCTGAACTGGCCTTATTTCTTGTAATCCCAGGAGAAGAGTACAGAGTGGCTGGGGGGTGGCGGGAGGGAGGGCTGGAGGCCCTGTGGTTGTGGGGATGGGGGCAGGGGGGACAGCGGCTGGGGTGAGGCCAGGCGCTGGGCGCTGGGAAGGTGTCATATTTTATGAATGATTTCCTGACAGGTAGAGCGGCTGACTCAGCTGGCAGCCTCCCATGGGTTGGTGTGGGGGGCCTGCTTTTCCGGAGTCGAATGCTAATCTGCCAGGGGCAGCTGGCTGGGGGGAAGGAAGGGCCCCCAGCTCGGTGGGCTGGGGCGGGCAACTGTGCATCTTTGGCGGTTGTTCTGCCCGCAGAGCTTTTCTTAGCTTGTCCGGGGTGGGCCGTGGGGGGTGAGCAGGACTCCCTTCGTCTCTCCTCCTCATGTCTTCCTTTACCTTCTCCCCGCTCCTCCCCTCCACACTCCTCCTCAGAGGCCTGCTGTCAGCAGCTTTCAGCTCCACTGGCCGCCTAGCGCCCTTCTCTGAGGGAGGGGGTGAAGGCTGCTCCCCAGGAATCCCTCCCCGCCGCCGCGCCCCCAACCCGCACCCCCCACCCCCGCCCACAGAGAAACCATCCAGAGGGAAGCCTTGTGCTTGAGGCCAGCGGGGGAGGATGTTCAGGCCTGTCAGAAAGGCCGGGCAGAGAACGTGTGTTTCTGAGGCTGGGTGTGTTTGCCATCACAGAGTGAGACAGGGAGGAAGTCCACGGAGTGTCTGATGGCCCAGGGGGCCTCAGAAAGGCCAGCCAGGGGGCAGGGAGGAGTGGTCCATCCCACAGACACCTTATTCCACTGAATTCTCACCACAACATTAAGAAGCAGTTATTCCTCTTTTTTTTTTTTTTTTTTTTAGATCACATGGCATGTGGGATGCCAGTACCCCCAACCAGGGATTGAACCCACACTTCCTACATTGGAAGCACAGAGTCTTAACCACTGAACCAACAGGATAGTCCCTTTTTCCTTTAAGAAGTAGTTATTTCCCCCATTTTACAGATGAGGAAATCTGACTCAGAGAAGGAAATGCATTCCCCCAAAGTCATACAGCAATTAAGTGGGGGAGCGAGGCTTCAAACCAGTCTGCCCAGGTCCAAAGCCATTCCTTACACAGCACTTCCTGCCTTTGGAGAGAAAGCCTGTGAAGAAGGAGAATGGGGAGGAAGGGCCCCTCTTATTGGTGAGAAGTGAGGGATGGGGGAGTCAGGGACTTGCGTCTAAACTGCCGGGTGATCCTGGGTGGCCTCTACCTTTCTCTGCTCCTCTGTTACCCTATCTGGACCAGGGAAAATTTAAGCTAGATGCTTTTGAGATCCCTGCTCCTTGTCAGCATTTTCCTCCTCAAACCACCTCGCCAAGGCCCAGAGTTCTGAAAGAGGCTGGATGCTGGCTGGCCTGAGAGTCCTGGCCAGCTATGGCCAACAGGGGCCTCTCCCTGTGGGCCTCCCACTCTCCTTGTGAGGCTTGCTCAGCTCAGGGAAGTAGAGGTGCCGCTTGGCCTGGAAAGCTTCGGTGACCGTGGCCTGCCCGGGTCTCAGAGAACCAGGCCCAGGACCCCCGTTCTGCCTCCATCCTCAGGGTTCAGAAGGATGCCCAGGGAGAGAAGGATGCCCAGGGCTCTAGGACACCCACACCCACACCCACACATCCTGCTTCCTCCCTCTCAGGTGTTGATTAGATGATTGGGGGCCTCCAGTAATTATCAACATTTGGCAATTTGCAGGCTACTGATGCAGGCGGTGGGGGCAGAGGAGAGCAGGCAGCCTCTGGAGGGCAGAGGAAACCTAGGGACTGTGAATCCCCTGGGTCACCCCCCTCCTCCCAGGCTTGTCTGCAGGCCGAGTCAGCCTGGCCCCCTGGTCTGGTCTGCGTGTCACACCTGGGAAGAGACCCCAGGCTGTCAGGCCGGGATGAGCAGAGTAGCGAGGGTGGCTAGTGATGCTGACAATAAGATGGGACCAGTTGGCAGGTTTAAACACACTGGCACCTGGAAGCCCTGTCGCCATTACCTTGGGGGAGCATCTCTGGAGCAATGTGCCAACTTCCTCCTCCCAGACCTCCTCTTACCGCCTGGGGGCCCGTGGGCAAGTCGCTCACCTCTCTGTGCCTCGGTTTCCTCATCTCTGATACGGGAGCCATGGCTCTTCTGGAACTGTGGGAGGAATCCATGACGACAAGCGTGTGTTCTCGGGGCACACGGTGAGCCCGTGGTGGCAGCCGTCCCTGCTGGGGTGGCTGTCATTGTGGCTGGTGTGACACCTCGCCCAGCACCCTCTTGCTGCTCCCGAGTGGAGACAACCATCTCCCTCATCCCCTCCACCTCACCGCGCAGTGTCTTGACGGGGCTTCCGTCCGAACACCTGAACTGTACTTGCTTCTTTCCATGTCTGGCTCCTAGACAGCACAGTCCTGGAATTCCAGGGCCGTGCATCACAGCCGACACCCAGTCTTGGTGGGTGGACACTTGGACCACCTCAGCAGAGGGAGGACAGGAGGCGGGCGCCTCCCGCTGGGACTTCTCTGCACTGCGCCTTCTCCGCCAGGGTTCCTCTAGGTGAGGCGGCCACTGTCGCACCACCACCGGGAGAAGCAGCGGGCTGCCCGGACGACAGCCTTGGCCTCGGAAGGAGCCCAACTGCAGCTCATGTACTTCCTCTTCCTCTCACACCTGCCACATCCTGAACCGAGCTTTCTGTTCCTCTACCGGAGCTGATAAACCTGCCCCCATCACACTTCCAATGAGCTTTCTAGAAGGCCCCAAACCTCGGAGGTGCCTGGTATGGATTGCTGGATACCTGCTCCCATGGGGTGGGGTTTTCTTCCCCAGGCACCAACAAGGTAGAGGGGGGCAGCTGGCTAACCAAAAAGCCCCCCAATCACCTAAGACATCCTGAAGCGCCACTCTGCCGGCTTCTGCCCTTGACACGTGAGCTAGTATTGGGCTTACTGGGATGCAGATTAGAGGTGAAACCGGAGTGCGGGGCTAGTTTTGGAGCTCTTTGGGGACCCACAATGCTCTCAGCCCCGCCAAGCCTCCGCATCGTGATGACAGCTCTAATTAGCAGTAAGCAGTGAGGGCCAGGAGGGCCCCTGGGCACATATGCAGACGCTGCGCGGCTGACTCTGCCTGTGGGCTGCAACTTGGGCCAGGGCAGCCTCAGCGCAGCATGCTCGCTCTCAGGGGCCCTGCTGTTTTGCAGGTGTTGGGCGGCATCCTGGAGATGTGATGCTGAGATCCAACTCAACGAATGCTATGAGCATCTACTACACACAGGGCACTGGGCCCCTGAGGCGGCCAGTGCAGCCCTGCCCTGGGAAGCCCCAGGTGGACACACGGCCCACACCAGGTGACTCAGATCTGTTTGAACAGAGAGTTCATGCCTTGAGTGGGGGCAGTTAGGAAGGGAGCAGCCACCTAGCCGCAGGGCTGTGCAAGTCACCTGGGCCTGCCTCGGTTTCCCCATCTGTCAGGCCATCCTGCACGATCTAGCCCCCGCTTCTCCCGTTGTGTCCCGTCCTGCCAGCCTCCCCATCACTGCCTCTGAAATTCCGGCCTCCTGCGGCCTCCTGGGCTAACTGTTCCTCCTTAGTCACGTCTCAGCTCAGGCGTCACCTCCTCCCGGGGCCTGTCCTGACCACCCCGCCTCTGCCTCCTCCCCTGCCCCACTGTTCCTATGGCACTTGCGTCAAGTCCGACAGTATGTTTATGTGCTGCCCCTTGTCTCTGTCTCCCTAGCCCAGAGCTTGGCACTGAATGCATATTTGCTGAATAAATGAATGAATGAATGTGCGAGATCCCATGGGGCCTTGCTCATCACGCCATGCTGCTCCTGGAGGGTGGGAAAAGCTTGAAGGATTTTAATGAAGCAGCAGCAACAAGACCACAGTTGTGTTGCTAAAAAGCCTTCCTGCCGCCCTGTGAGAGTGAGGAGAGAGGGAGGCGGGAGACCAGCCTAGAGTCTGTCACCGCTTCTTTTCTGCCTCCTTCTCCTCCAGGGCCCACCTCTTCCAAAATGGATTTTTTTTTTTCAGCTCAGAGCACAGTTCCTCATGAACTGTCATTGTAAATAAGCAGCCTGGAGGCCAGGAAAAAGATTCTTTTTTCATGCTTTTTTCCTCCTTGAAAGACTAGCTTCCTGAACGAGCCAGGAGCACTCCTGTGGCCCTCAGGGTGGGTGCCTGATGCACAGTGTGACTGAGAAGTGAGTGTTGGGTGTGTCCTGGCATCTGAGCAGCAACAAGAGGGTCGATGCTGCAGGAGGCACCCCGAGCCCTTGGGGCCAGGGCAGGAGGAAGGCCCTTTGGACACCTGGAAACTCAGGAGCAGCTTGTGGGTGGCTGGGTTCCGTGAGGAGACGTCCTCACTTCCTGTCATCGGGTGGCAGGGCGGGCGGTGGACGCCATGGTTAGCTCACCTTAGACAAGCCTCTCCTCTGAGCCCAGCATCCCAGCCGTTGTAGAGGGGCTCCTAGGAGAGCGTGTCGGGTAAGAAGGACTCTGGGGGTTGAAGTCTTTTTAAAAAATATTTATTTATTTGGTGGCATCAGGTCTTAGTTGTAGCATGCAGCCTCTTCCAGTTGTGGCTTGCAAACCCATAGCTGCAGCTTGTGAGCTCTGGTTCCCCAGCCAGGGAGCGAACCCAGGACCCCTGCATCAGGAGTGCAGAGTCTTAGCCACTGGACCACCAGGGAAGTCTCTGATTATTTTAGCCCTGCAGACAAGGGAAGGAATCCTTGCCTGGATTCCCTGGGGTGTGGCGGGGGGAAGGGGGGAACGTGGCCCACCAGGAGGGCCCCAAACCTGTGGCAGACAGAAATGATTGGTAGGCTCCCAGCAGATAGGAGAGATTGCGTCCAGGGACATGGAAACACAAAAATGCAGACAGAGGAGAGGTTAGCGGGCTAAGCAGGAGCCGAAAGCCTGGGGTCCCCGCTTGGGGTCAGGGCTGAGCTCATTGAGTTTATCTGAGTTTATCTGGGTTCTCTCCTCTGGGCTGTTGTTTGTTGTGCAGCATGGGCTGTGCCAGCCTCGGTTTCCCCACCTGTTCACAGGAATAATGAGATCTGTAGCATCCATTTGCCATAAAGCCCATGACGACATTGCACAAGTCAAGTTCCAAATTCTAACCATCTGAATTCTGATTGAGGAGCTTTGAGAGAAGAGGGCGGCAGAGGATGAGGTGGTTAGATAGCACCACTGACTCAATGGATGAATTTGAGGAAACTCCGGGAGATAGTGGAGGACAGAGGAGCCTGGCACACTGCAGTCCATGGGGTTGCGAAGAGTCAGACACAACTGAGCGACTGAACCACAACAGCAAGCTTTGAGAGATGAAGATCTGGAGAGAAATAAAGCCAGAAGAACAATGTAAGGATGAAAGAGTTAAAATTGTCTTTTTTTTCTTTTGTTCTTTTTTTGGTAAGGGGCGTTTTTTGTGAGGAAGGGCAGACATAGATACCATCTGTAACAAAATTTCTGAAGGTGGGATGGAGTGACACTGGCACATCCTGTGAGGTGGGCTGGGTATTGTCATTTTTGTCCTATAAGTTCAGGCACTTGGGACTTCCCTGGTGGTCCAGTGGCTAAGACTCTGCACTCCCAATGCAGGGGCCCTGGGTTCGCTCCCCGGTCAGGGAACTAGATCCTACATGCTGCAACTGAGACCTGATATAGTCAAATAAATATTTTAAAAACAAATAAATAAATCTAGGCATTCTGGGGACTTCCCTGGTCGTTCAGTGGTTAAAACTCCACGCTCCCAATATAGGGATGCATGGGGCTAGGGTTTGATCCCTGGTCAGGAAACTAAGATCCTACACGTGTGGAACAGCCCCCGCCACCCCCCCCCCCCAAAAAAAAATCCAGGAGCACTGCAGGCTAACCTGACGGACCCCTGACTCAAAGGCGCCCTCTGGTGGTCAGTTCTAAAATCACGGAAAGTTCTCCCACTTGCTTTTTTTCTTCTTTATTAAGGATGCACTCCTTTACTATTGGGCTTCACTGGTGGCTCAGCTGGTGAAGAATCCACCTGCAATGCGGGAGAACTGAGTCCAGTCCCCGGGTTGGGAAGATCCCCTGGTGGAGGGTATGGCAACCTGAACCAGTATTCTTGCCTGGAGAATCCCCATGGACAGAGGAGCCTGGCGGGCTACAGTCCATGGGATCCCCAAAAATAGGACTGAGCGGCTAAGTACAAAGCAAAGTTGTGTGCTTTTTTCTGAACACCAGACTAATACATCCAAAAACAACATATCTTCTGTAGGACAAGTTCCTAGAAGCCCCAGGGCTGGGTTGGTAGATGCTAGCATTTTGCATGTGGGCAGGTAACATCTAAGTCTCTTTCCAAAATAGTTTAGTTCAGATTAACATAAACACCAAGATGAGACCAGGTGGGTCACTTCCGCCATGTGTCCTGGCCATAAAATGAAAGGGCTGGATTTTTTTTTTTTTTTAAAGAAACAAAGTAAGGAAACCGTCTTCTCTGAACAGCGAAGGCCCTGCTTTGTGCTCACAGGTGGGTGTGTTGAGACTCACTCACAGCTGAACCAGCCAAGGCTGGAAGAGGCTGGCTAGGCAGCGCCCTGCCCAAGCTTGCACAGCTCATGGGTCTTCCCAAACCTGCCTGATCTCCAGACCCTCTGCTACTCCACAACCCCACCCTCCTCCCCAGCTTCTTCATTCATTCTACCAGCAAAACAGCGCTGCGTGGCCACCAGGGCCAGGCCCTCTGCACCACGGAGGGGACGCCCCAGGAGCAAGAGCAGACATGTCCGTGCACACTGGAAGAATCTCACAAATAAACACACGTGTGCAAACGGAGCCAAACGGTGGGGCAAGCGGCACAGATGAGTGCAGGGTCAGGGGAGCCTGGAGTTGGCCAGCTGGTCCTCATGCTGAGGGCACCGGGTCACTGTGAGGGATTTTAAGCAGGGGAGGGGGTGACCTAGTGAAAATCAAGCAGAAAGACCAGCGTGTGCTTCAGAAGCCACCATCTGTCCGTCACATGTCCCTTGGAGCCCCACCTGGGTCCCTGGGCCTGGGGAACCTGCGGGGGCTGCCATGTGGGGAGCCTGTGGCCGTTGAGCCCACCTCCGGCAGCCAGGTCTGAGGAGCCGGCCACTTCCGCCCCCTGCCCTCCCTGTGGTTGGCTGCTGGGGCCAGGACACCTCGGCCAGCGCAGAGGGGAGCGGGCGGAGGCAGCGGGACGGCCCGGCGGTGGGGGGGCCTCCTACCTCCCAGCTGTCTGTGGTTCTCAGGGCCCGGTCAGCCTCTTCCTGCCATTTGTCCCAGCCCTGGGCCTTATCAGAAAGGACTCTTTCCACGGCTTCTCCCCACCCCCTCCCCTCTGCCTCTCCCTAGGGGAAAGAGAGGTGTTGGGGGGGAGGGTACAGAGAGGTACCCAGCCCTCCTGACAGAGGGGTCTTGGTGCTGGGGGTGGGCTTCTTTTATGGACACTCCTTCCAAATGGTTTCCATTCTTCCCTTCCCAAGTCCTCCTGGGTCTCCTGGGCCCGCTGCCAGCGTTGCCTCCCCAGGTCTAGTCAGAATCCCCTTTTCACCCAACAGTGTGTGCCAGGCCCCCACGTGATGCCAGGGCTAGTTAGACGGGTTGGGGGGAGACCAGAACAAAGGGCAGGATGCACCCTGCCCTTCGGAGCTCACAGCCCAATGGGAAGGTGAAGGGTCAGCTCCAAGTAAAAGAGAGAAATATTCTTCTAGAACTGTGTGTGCAAAGTGCTGGTGGTTTGAAGGAAGAAGGGGAGGGTGGGGCTGTGATCAGAGAAGGAAGAGTCGATGACTTCCTCCCCTAGACTTCCAGACATAAGGTCTGGTGTGATGAGAAATAGGGAGGACATGGAAAGCAACCCCCCACACACACACACACCCCACGCTGTGGCTCATTTCCCCCACAAAACTAAGGCTACTTAATTTGAAGGACTATTCTTCAGTCTGAAATGATAGCCTTCCTGTTTTTTTTGGTGTTTTGATGTCCTTTCCAGAAGGTACTTGGTGGTTGTTGTTTTTTATTGTGGTTGAAGAGGACATAACATGAGTTATGCTCTTGTAACAAATTGTTATGTGTATGGCCCAGAATTGTTAACTGGATGCCCAGTGCTGTACAACAGATCCTTAGAACTTAGTCCTCTTGCTTAACTGAAAGTCCACCCTCGTTGACAGCAATTCCCCTCCCCTCGGCTCCTGTCAACCACCCCTCTCCTTTCTGTTTCTATGAGTTTGACTGTTCTAGGTGCCTCGTGTAAGTGGAATCATACAGTGTTTGTCCTTCTGTGACTGGCTGATTTCACTTCGCATGTCCTCAAGTTTTCATTGGTATTTAGCGTCAGACAGGATTTCCTTCTTTTCTGTGGCTGAAGAGCATTTCGTTGTATGTGTCCACCACATTTTCTTTTTTGTAATGTGCAACTTTCAATTATTTATTTAAACATTTTATTTACTTTATTTAAAATTCTTGTTTCTTTATTTTTGGCTCAGGAGTTGTGGCACACGAGCCCAGTTGCCCGTGTGGGATCCTCCTGGACCAGGGATTGAACCCAAAGCCCCTGAATTGGCAGGTGGACTCCCAACCACTGGACTACCAGGGAGGTCCCACCACATTTTCTTCACTCTCGTCCATCCATCAGTGGGCATGTAGGTTATCTCCAATTCCGTTGCAATGTTAGAGTCAAATGCAAATGTGTTTTGGGGATCCTGATTTCACTTCTTTTGGCTATATATCCAAAAGTGCGATTGCTAGATCACATGGTATTTAATTTATTTTGAGGAACCCCAATACTGTTTTCCCTAACAGCTGCACCATTTTACATCCCCACCAACAGTGCCCAAGGGTTCCCTTCTTTATATCCTCCAACACTTGTTAACTCTTGTCTTTTCGATAATAGCCATTCTAACAGGTGTGAGCTGATATCTTATTGTGGTTCTGATCTGCATTTACCTGATATAAGGTGTGTTGTACACTTTTCACATGCTTGTTGGCCATCTGGGGTCTCTTTGGAGAAAAGTCTGTTCGGGCCTTTTGAATTTTTTTAAGATGTATTTATTTATTATTTTATTTATCTATTTATTTGTGGCTGGGTCTTTGTTGCTGCACAAGCTTTTCTTCAGCTACGGCGAGTGGGGGGTAGTCTCTAGTTGTGGTGCATGGGCTTCTCATTGCTGTGGCTTCTCTTGTTGAGGAAATTGGGCTCTAGAGCACTGGCTCAGTAGTTGAAATGCAAGGGTTTAGTTGTCCTGAGGCATGTGGGATCTTCACGGAGCGGGGATTGAACCTGTGTCCCCTGCATTGGCAGGTGGATTCTTTACTACTGAGTCACCAGAGAAGCCCCCCTTTGCCCATTTTTAAATTTGGTCATTTGGGTTTTTGCTATTGAGTTGTAGGAGTTTCTTATCTATTATAATATATGAGTGCTATGTGCTAAGTAGCTTCAGTCATGTCTGACTCTTTGCGACCCCATGGACTGTAGCCCGCCAAGCTCCTCTGTCCATGGGATTCTCCAGGCAAGAATGCTGGAGTGGGTTGCCATGCCCTCCTCCTCGGGGATCTTCCCGACCCAGGGATCGAAGCACATCTCTTATGTCTCCTACATTGGCAGGCGGGTTCTTTACCACTAGCTCCACCTGGAAGATGATCATATATATGGCTCACAAATTTTTTCTGTAAGGTTGCCTTTTTG